AAATATCTTTCTTAAGGTCCTCTAAATGAGAGCTTAAATACCGACGCAAGGCTCTTGAAGACGACTCGAAAACGGGCTCTTGATAAACACTTACATTTAAAACCTAAGAAAAACCACCTTTTTATTGCTTAGATGTGAATGAACTCGTGATCCACCTGGTGCTAAGTAGTTGTCGGAGGCCATCGATGTCAACAACGTAAATGCGACCTCTTACCAAGACTTATGAGTTCAAAGTTTCAGTTTTACTGTACAACGGCTGCCCTGCCCTTCAAACCGAAACGCATTACTGCTCGACGGCAGAAACCGGCAGGGTGGTGATACCTCCCCATGGGGGTAACAAGACACCCTACCACCAGTAATTATGCAAATTTTCAATAATATCGCCCCATTAAATTTCATGCCGCCCTAGCGCGCCCCAGCAATGGTCAAGATGCTGGGACTTACTTGTGTAACACTTACAACATGCCCTCCGCATCATTACCATCATCATCAGCCCACAGTCATCAGCTACTGGACATAGGCCTCTCCCAGTCCACGCCACTGAGCCGAGTCTTGAGCTCTCCTCATCCATCTCTTACGGCCACCGTTCCAAGGTCATCGCCCTAACTAGCCAGGTAGTCTCACGTGACGTTTTCTGTTACGCGGTCTCCACTCCAGAACCTGTCTACTCCAGCGATCCCTCCACAAGTAAATAGCAATTGGTCATCGCAATATGCAGATAAAATACTTAAAGAACGCTGATGTCCACTTTACAATGAATCCCTTAGTAGCCACTATGGGAGACGATGGGGTGGTGTATAGGAGTCTCAATTAATTATAAGTTAAACAATAGACCACAAAAAGGCGAGAACGTTAATCTGTACACACCGATTGTATTTGCAGAGTTTTGTATTAAAACAATGCCGCTACATACTCGTCCCCAACGCGCATAGTATATCTTATAGCAGTACAACAACTAAAAAGTATAGAGCTGTAAGACGAGCTACGATTTGGTGTGTGATATACCATTATATGATATGTGCTATATCAATATTGTAAATTAGAATATTACTCAAGAAAAATCAATCAATAGGTTTCCTCAGCTGAGTCAACAGACGACATATTTTTGAGTAGTAGTTTTGAGTATAAGTAAAAATTTAAAATATTATATTTAATCCAATAAAAAATTTTAAATGTTCTTTATACGGTGACTAAGGTATTTAATAACATGGTTGTATAGATAGTTGAATATAAATAAATATAAAATAAGCCTTTATTGCTGTTTTACTTCATAATTATTATCTTAATAATATCTTTATTGCTTAGATGGGTGGACGAGCTCACAGCCCACCTGGTGTTAAGTGTTTACTGGAGCCCATAGACATCTACAACGTATATGCGCCACCCACCTTGAGATATAAATTCTAAGGTCTCAAGTATAGTTACAGCGGCTGCTCCACCCTTCAAACCGCAACGCATTACTGCTTCACGGCGTTTCCGATCCGGTGGTAGATTCTGCGAAGCACGGCTCTTGCTAGGGTTCGTGTTAGCAACGTCGTCAGGTCTGAGCCCTGTGAGCTCATCTACTAGTTAAGGTTCCGCTGAAATAGCCTCTTAAGGCTTAGGTAAGAAAAAAAAAAGCTTCACGGCAGAAATAGGCAGGGCGGTGGTACTGTTGGCGCTGTTGCGATGAGTTGTTGGATGCAAGGCTTATTCAAATTAAACAAATAGCTGGTTTATTAAATCGGATCAAAGCTAGTACAATTTTACGGGACCGACAATGATTGTGTGTTTTTCGTTGATGCACGTCGTTTTATTTTGCAGGTCCACGCCTCTCCCCCGCTTCCGCCGCGGTGAGGAAAATAGGGTTGCTATGTTTCGAACCTACCCGCGCGGACTCAAAAGAGGTCCTACCACCAGTAACATACTACTACCAGTTTTATATTTTCTTTGTAAATATCGAGTGGTCAACATGTGATTCCAACAATAATTATATCAAATATCTTCTTTGTTTCGAATAGATAATTTACCTTCTGTTTTGTCCCTACACTGTGTTGACCGGCACCAAACGCGACCGCAAGCCGCGTAACGACCGTCCAGTATTGTATTTACACAGAACAAAATTTTCGCCATTACGATGTACCACTGTAACAGTCCGCTGCGCTCACACTTTATTGAATTCCATGCAGATGTACGGGAAAAACGTAAAACATTTTATAGTTTATATAATTGAATTCTCAAAAAAGAACTCTATAGCATCGAAGTAGCGACTAATTTTCGAGGTATAAGCAACCGTAGTATCTACCCAGACGGACCGTAATACCAGCTCTCAAAACATGGATTAGAAAGATTTTGTATCTTAAAGATAGAGCGTTCGAAAACTTTTTTTGTTATGGAAAAAATCCTCAAGTAATCATCAATCGTATTAAAAGTATCAATTTTTAGTACACCTACTTATAATGTCTCCGCCAATAACGATTAAGTATAATACAATGAAACAACAAGTATATAAAAATACTTTTATTTTCCTCGAAATAAATAATGGTTAGAAATCAAAATGTGCGCTTACATTAAAATAATATTTTAGTTAAATAACGTTTATAATTAAGATAACAAACCTATGTAATATGTACATTTTTATCGTAATTAAAAAATATTTTCACAGACAATAATAAATCCTAACAGAAATACAATAAATTCGGGGGATTTGTGATGACTAAAACACTGAAAGAATTAGAAATTGAATTTAAAAAACACGATTCGGATCCCTCAAATATATTATGTATTTCTAAGGTAAACAACTAAAACAATAAATCCGTAAACAATCTTATAAAACAAATTAAATAATTAAATCGATAAACAATGACAGTGCTCGAAATATTATTTCAAATATCGATTTTTAATAAAATTTTACACATTAAATTTATCGTCTACGTTTATATATTTACAAATATTACAATTTTTTTGAGAAACTAGGCTCAGAATTTGACTAGATTAAAACTGATAAAATTTGGCTGGTCGCAATGAATATTTCATTTGATAATATTTTTATTTGACTGGCGGCCTCTTGTCTCAGTGTGCTATGGGGAAGAAAAATAGACGCTTAGCTATACAGTACAGAGCTTATAGGAAGATATGTTCGTGGTCAGCACCCACTTACAGCTATAGGGCTAGCGGATCTCATTGGCAACTACTTAACGTCAGAGCTATTCGACGACAATTATAAAGTCGAATGCTGAATTTCATTGACCTGAAGCTTCATTTAACCATGTTACCAAACGGTAACCGAGGTAGTTAATATATAAGAAGTAAAAGTAACGTAAAATAAATAATTAATAGTTTAAAAAAACTAAAAAAATACGCTTTTATAGAAAATCCAACTAAAAAATAGAAAATAAATTTTAATAAATTTAAATTAAAAATATTCTAAGAAAAAATGATTTTACTGTAAAAAAAGCGTGGGGTGCATGGTGTCAGTAGTTATAAATATTTTATGAACAGATATGAGTAGAAGGATTATTTTGATAATATCCCGAAAAGCACCCCACGCTTTTTTACAGTAAAATGATTTTTTTTTCCATTATTTTTAATTCAAATTTATTTTCTATTTTTTAGTTGGATTTTTTATAAAAGCGTATTTTTTTTTGTTTTTTTAAACTATTAAATTTCATTTTTTAGTTGATTTAAGTTTTTTAATTTAATAAAAGCGTATTAAAAAAGGTAAGAAGAGCTGTCGCATTTTCGTGACTCTTCATGTGAGGTCTTCTGATCGAATCATTAATTCCGAAGTATGAAAGATGTTATTGGACTAAAATTTACATCTCATTCCTGGAGGCATGGCTGTAAGTAGTTAATATTCAGCCAGTGACCAACTTTCCGTCTAGGCTGGTCGTAATAGGCTTCTCGCATGCAAATAACTAGCAACGACCCCTGGATGATTGTAAATCAAAAGATTAAGCATTGAAGTCTTAAAGAGTTTTACCGTCCGAAGCTCGTTAAAAAAATGTGTACATAAAAATTCAGAAGGCAGACTTTGTGGTCGCAAAATAAAAATAAATAATCCATGTACAATTCAAACGATTTTCTTTTTATTTCATTCATGTACCGCTTTAGCGTCTGTACTTGATGACAAATTGCTTAAATATTTTGACGTTTATATTTTTTTTATTTTCTGCAACTATAACCTACTTATTTAAATAATGAATTGTATGTAAATACATTTTGTCTGACATTTGTTTTGACGTGATACCAGTGCATTAGACGCTGGTTCTCACAAAAATGTTAAAAAGTCAGTTTTACGTGCGTGATTGACGATGCCAGATGCCGGTGGAGAGACGTCTGGGCACCCATTTTATAGTATTTTGATACTTCTCGAGAACTGATACCTCTACAGGGGCAATAAAAAAATTAAAAAACTTCTCGACATTTGAGCTTATCCCAACACATACAGGCCATCATGGATCGATCGATGATATCTCACATCCTGTTTTTCTAATCGCTGTTTCAGAAACAAACTCATCAGGAAATGAATCAAAACTCTTTGTATGTACTGTAAATACCTCATTAGTCTTAAATATTATTTTACTGTGGAATTTCACGTTCATTGCTATTGTTTTACATTTTTCAATGCTTAGAATGCTTTACAATATTCTAAGTCAAGGACAACGTCAAATGAAGAAAGTAAATGAGGTTGTATCGAGAAAGTAAAGTCAGAGTGTCTAACAATAGAATTATTGAATTGACATTTCATAAAAAACAATCACAATTTAAATGATTACATACGTAAATTTTGATATGTCGCATCGATCACTTTAAGTAGTAAATTAATTATTTAAGTTCACAACACCAGTTAGTTGAACACTATGTTATTAGATTCCCGCAATGCGTAAAAGTGGTTAAAGATACTTGACGGCTTAATCTAGTTTACTTTATGTATTTTACGGGAGCTACAAATATTTTAGTCTTCATTATAGTGGGGACAATTTTTTGAAATAAATAGGATCTTTGTTGTATCTTCTAAAAATTTTAATGGATAAATAGAGAAATGCGTGATTAAGCCGTAAAGGATTTTTAACCACCACACAGTAGATTGTTTTCACTAACTCAGAGCATATAGCAACACGATCCATTGAAATGATCTCATTGTGTGTGGACGATGTGTTAATGCTCTGCTTGAGAGTGCACTGGCATGGCACTCCGCCTCATCTGCCTCCAGAGACAGGAGTGGAACTAATGTCCCGGATATCATGCACGCGCTACGTCGTGCTGCATCACGACCGTCTCTTGACCAGCCTCCAACCTCAGCTGTCCAACGACGCAACCAAGCCCCCACCCACGATACAGAGCAACCACAACGGAGTGGATTCTCTGATAGTATGAGGCCTCCTGGTAAAGAAGAATAAACATTATAGATACTTGATGGATGACTATAAGAAAAGGATATTTCGTAAGGCTTACTTCGCTGCTTAGACTCAACTACTAATCAATACAATTGAGACATCTATCTCGTTTTTTGCAGTAGCAGCATCCACGGTATGACGATAATGGGTTCTGGTGGCCACTTTTCACCAAGTAGACCTAAAGTTTTTTCTATTTTTCTACTACACAAAAAAAACTTTCCAAACACTGCACATTACTGCTTAGCTTGTAAGAAACAGTTTTCTATTAACTTACCAGGGAGGAGTTTTGTTGCGAGACGGTTCCAACCAGTCAAGTTTGGGTAGAGTGTCGCCGGACCAAAGGTAACTAACTGGTTAGCACTGAAGTCCAGTGCTAAGTGTGGGACACGGGCCACCGGTTTCACTATACCTGGTGGGAGTGCAGTGATGCTAGTTCGACGCAATCGTAGAGTCAAGGCACGCTGCTGGCCCAAAGATACAAACGCATGCGCAGAGACACGACGCAACGCCACTCCGTGCACCTCAAGGGACCGCAATTTCGGTGCTCTTAGCCCATGTAGTTGGGTATCGAGAACACTTTCTCTGACCAAAACAGAAAGAGATTCCAGTGTGGGTATTGATAGAGAAATATCGGCAAGAGATGCTTCTGCTCGACCTGATCCAATGGGCGATTCTAAATCCAAAGTCCTAAGAGAAACTAATGGTCTGAACGCTCGGGGTTCTACCACCTCCAACTGCCTTAGCTGTGGCATCCGTAAATGTAGCAAGCGATCGAGACCTTCGAATGATCCACGAGTCACTCGGACTATAGGGTTCTGTGAGACGTCAAGGTTACACAATTTCGGTAACGCCGCCCACATGGCTGGTTGCAATGACGTAAATTTATTTCTTGCCAAGTTCAGCGCGCGTAGGTTCATCAATCGCCTCACTTCAGGCTCCCGAAACGATGACATGAAGTTACCACTCAGATCCAGTTCAGTTAGATTAGCAAGTGGCAAATGCGGTATACTCTTAAGGCCGGCGTCGGCGAGGATCAACTTGCGCAGTCGAGGAAGGTTGTGAAACAGTTCCTTGAAATTCGTCTTGACGGGATTATGTGATAAGTCTAACTGTCGCAGTCTGGTTAATCCAGCAAATGTGTTATCCGAAAGTACTGTAAGAGTATTACGAGCGAGTGTCAGCTCGTGAAGAAAAGCGATAGCGTGGAACATCGCCGCGTCGAGATATTCTAGGTGGTTTTGAGCTAGTTCCAGTCTTCTTAAAGTGAAACCGACTTGAGCCAAAGCACTACTGGGAAATATTGCAATATGATTGTCATTTAGGTCTAAATGTTCGAGAATGGTATTTTTAAATACATCTCGTGGCAAAGATCGCAGGACATTTCGCGCCAAGCGCAGATGCCTTAAGCGTCGCATATTATGAAATTGCTCTACAGCTAATTGGCTGATTTTATTACGTGAGAGATCCAGGATTTGAAGCGACGACATCTCAGCGAAGGATTTCTTTTTAATAGCACTTATACTGTTATCGTGTAACATCAATACTTCTAGAGATGGCAGGAAGCCAAACGCAATGTTATCGAGGTGCATTAATCTGTTGTGCGAAACAATTAACTGTCGCAAGGCTGGTCCGATTGAGTCGAAAAAATGTCGTGAGACGCTCTCTAAAAAATTAAAGGATAGATCGAGTGTATTTATTGAAACGGCCAGCCCGCCGGTCAACACGGATATTCTATTTCGGCTAACGTTTACCGAAAAGTTCGTTTCATCGTTGGAAACATTTTCGAAACAGTCCGTAGAGAATACGAGTAAATTATTCTCGTGCATGTCTAACGCCTCTAATTTGGGCAAGCGTCGGAACGCGCGTTCCGCTATGAACTCCACAGCGTTCCCGGACAAGCTCAAATAAACCAAATTGTGCAAATTCGAGAAACCGTTCTCGCTAATATTGTACACGCGATTATACGATAAATCTAAACTTTGCAACTCCACTAAATCGGAGAGGAATTCCGAATTTATCTTGCTTATGTAATTATATGATAGTCTCAGTTCTTTAAGTCTGTTCGATCGATCAGACGTTAGAGTGACTTCACTAGGAAACTCTGTTATCTTATTGAACTCTAAATTGAGATATTGTAGTGAGGGAAAGTTCTGGAGGTCCCCGGACGAGACGTAATGAACGTTATTGTTATCTAAACTCAGCCAAGTCAGATTATCGAAATACGAAGACACTGGAAATTCTCCACTGAATAAAGTCGAAGATAGTTCCAGCACTTGCAACATCGTTAGGTTTGCGAAAGCATTTGGATCTACGTAATAAAGGTCATTGAAGCTGAGTACAAGTTCTCTTAAGGGCAAAGTTAAAGGGAAGGACCCCGCCACGAGCTGTGTGATCCTATTCCCTTTGAGATTTAGAGTTACGAGTGCTTCCGACCACACACCGAAGGATTCGGGGGACAAGACCGATATTTGATTATATCCGAGATCTAAATAGGCCAGACTCGCAGGACTTAAAGTACTTAAGCCCACTGGAAAAGTCAACAGGAAATTCCCGGACAATGACAAAGAATACAAATTTGGAGGAAGATCATTGATCTCTTCTAGGTGATTGTAAGCTAGCGACAAATGCTTAAGTCTCACCATCTCCTTAACACTACCTGATAGAATAGCTATTTCATTGTAATCCAGTTCCAATCTTTCCAAATCTCTTTTCAATGCATGGATCATCGCATCTGACACATAGCTTAATTTATTGTAAGAAATTGATAATTTCTCTAACCGACCGCTGTCCATAACGAAGGGAGGGATGGCCGTAAAATCATTAAAGTCCAAAATTAATTGCTTCAGCTGTAATCTGTGCTGGAAACTAAGGACAAAACGATCATCCAGCTCATTGTGACTCAAATCTAATGACTCTATTTTGGTGCGTTCACCCCTGCACGTGTGGTTTAAGGAAGGTCTTAGTATGTTATTTCTGAGGTGAAGGTGTAGTAGACGTGGTAACCCAGCCAACGTTAGACATGGGAAGTATGTCAATATGTTATCAGACAGACGAAGCAATGCCAATGACTGTGGCAGCGAATTCGGGTTAACGGCATGTAATCGATTCCCGTCAAGATCGAGCTGGGCCAGCTGATGTAGTGACGATAATGAACCTTCGTTCAGGATATACAGATGATTGTTGCTTAATGATAAGCTGCTCAAAGAATCGGATAAGAAACCCCAATCAAAATCCGAATTTAATTCGCTAATGTAATTGCTGTAACAAACAACAATGATTAGAAAATGTAACAAAACGAGATTTATATTTAAAAAAAAAACAGCCTTACTTTTGCAAATTGAGCCAATTCAACACTTTTAATTCTCGAAGAGCTTCGATAGGGATTTCTGTGAATTCATTGTTGCCTAAATCCAAGGATGCCAATGTTGACGTCATTGACCTGTGAAGAAAAATAATAGGATTGATTAAACGTGTTGTTGGATATACAGGCTGGTACAGCATTTAACTGGTGGTAGGACGTCTTGTGAGTCCGCACGAGTAGGTACCACTGCTCTGCCTATTTCTGTTGTGAAGCAGTAATGCATTTCGATTCAAAGGGTGGGGTAGTCGTTGTGACTATACTGAGACCTTAGAACTTATATCTCGGGGTAGGTGGCGCATTTACGTTGTAAATGTTTTTGGGCTCCAGTAACCACTTAACACCAGGTGAGCTGTGAGCTCGTCTAACCAAATAAGCAATAAAAAAAACAGTCCTATTTCTTTTCGCAACAAAGCATCGATGCGTTTCTATTTTAAGGGTTTATAAACAGTTGAGACCTCATGATGCAACGTTCAGAGCTGGTTTCAAAGTGTATTAACTATATAACAGAAACATCCACTAATGCTACTACTGAACAATTTCGTAAATATTTGTATTTAAACATATCACTACCACAAATATTACAGCTACAAATTCACTGTTGATATTTTGAGGACTGTAAAAACGAATCCAAGGCATGCGAGGTAAACAAATGAAATACTTTCTGTAATGTACGACCGTGCTTACTGTTACCAAATACCTAATGCAGTCGATCACTAAGCACGATTTCAGAACTTAAACAAACAAAGCTCCAGTAATTTCCGCGCTTTTTAGTGAACAATAAATCGTAAGCCTGGAAAACATTTCTTATACGACTTCAGAAAGATGCCTCTCGATTTATTTCAAACACTACCTACACTATAACACTACCTACACTATACAATAATATTTAACGAGTCATTAATAAATAGTATAATCAATCAATGAAGTCATCACGAAATCATTCTTAATTTCAGAATGCAATAGAAAATGATTGAAATTTTTTTATTTGTCAAAGACAACGAAGATATAGATATAGTAGAAGTATATTTGAAAAAAAATAAGAAAATTATTACGAAAATTAAAAGTGTCATGCTCGTTTTTAAACAACATAATTAGTGAGTGAGTAGCTTTAGTGAGATCTTGATATTTCAGCGCTGTTGCAAGCCCCATAGAATGTATAGTTGAGCATATTATTAGAGCTAATCATCGAGTTACATTCGTAACACTCAAAAACAGATTAGAAAAACCTTCTGTGGTTTTTTTTATTGCTTAGATGGGTGGACGAGCTCACAGCCCACCTGGTGTTAAGTGGTTGCTGAAGCCCATATACATCTACGACGTAAATAAACAGTTCGAAGTTTATTTATTCCAAAGATTCTACCAATATTCAATCACGTGATTATATCGTTAACGCCGCTTAGTTCTCGAGAACAGAACAGTAGAAAATAAAAAATATGATAACAATCTGTTAAACAATATAATTTATAAGATATGTCTTTTCCATTACAGCCCAATGTCACTCTAATCAAGACTATGACCAAAAGCCTAATCTTTGTGCCCAGTTTTATGTCCATACGTACGAAAAAGCTCCGGGTTCTATGTGGTATAGATGTGAAGCTACCAGCACCAGGGTCCGCAGCCGTCTCCCATCCAGTGCACCCTCACCCAGGGTACCCAAGCGAGCTTGCGACACTGACACGTGCCATACTTCTGGATCTAGAAAACAGACATAGTTTAACTATGCTTGCTCTACAGGAAAACTTTATGTTTTTATTTTTTATTGTTAAAGTATTGAAGTAATAATCTTTCATTTTTTCTACTGTCCTAGTAGGCAGATGAGCATACGGTTCACCTGACGGTGAGTGGTTACCGTCGCTTATGGATCATATGGTCAGCAATGCCGGGGCAGAGCTAAGCGGCTGCCTACCGTTAAAAATCTTTCTTTTTCGGTACCTTCAAATTCGAAGGCTTAGTTTCTTCACGAGATAAACAGGACATGAATGCTTGCTGATTCCTAACACGCTTTCCTATTATTATTTTAACTATTTTTTATTGCTTAGATGGCATATTATTGATTTTTTATTGCTTGCATAACCCACCTGGTGTTAAGTGGATACGGGAGCCCATAGATACCTACAACGGAAATGCCGCCACCCACTTCAAGATATAAGTTCTAAGGTCTCGGTATAGCTACAACGGCTGCCCAAACCTTCAAACGGAAACGCATTACTGCTTCACGATTGAAGTAAACAGGGCGGTGGTATCTACCCGCGCGGACTCATAAGAGGTCCTACCACCAGTAAACTCACAAGAGGTCCTACCACCAGTAACGTAAGTATTAGTAAAGTAGTAAAGTAAGTATTAGAAGAATAAGCCGCATCACAGGCTACCTGTTTCTGGGAAACGATGGAACGGAACATAGTTGCAGGCGAAGTGGTCCGCGCGACAGTAGCAGAGCGAGTTCCTTGGACAGGGACGGGCTGGAGCCCTCGCTCCGGGCAACAGCATCACAGCGAGCGCCGCGTGGATCCAGCACGCCGACCATTGCTGCATCGCACCTTGCCTAAGTCGAAACAAATGAAGACTATATAATTATTGCTACGCGCTGGGGTTCGGGATAAGCAGAACGTTCCACCAAAGTACAATTTAACACTATATTCAACACTTAGAACATTTCACAAACACTTTAAAATTCTCAGTTCACTTCTTCCGCTTCGCTTCAGGTGATCCGTTCGCTGTTTCGCTTCGAATAGTTCCGATTACTGACTGCGTGCCATCTCTACAACGCTTTTATAGCCGATACCTCATCCCTATAATTATTCAGAATATTCCACACAACTCTAGTATTGTGTTCCGCTATCTAACAATAGATGGCGTTGTACTTCTCGAGCGTTCTAGATGCTACTGCCTTCGATATTCGTTCGAATATTCGGCGATAGATGGCACTACTCTTACCGGCGTAACACTATCAACGAAATACAAGCCTTTTCCGCTGCTACAAAAATTAGAATAGAAAAACTGATTCTAAAATATATCAAACAACATGAATAATTTATGTAATTATAGCTCGACGTTTAAGCCACCAAGTCGATTATTTATTTTAATATTTCAGCTTTTCAAAGAGAGAGTTTTGAATAGTAATTCGTTATTATGTACTATAGATTCCTTTATTATATCTATATATTAATACGTGAAGCAAAAACTTTGTACCTCATTTTACGAAAATTATACGGACAGAGGAGTATGAAATTTCCCATAGAGAATATAGAGAAGGAGTGCTAAACGATAAATTTTTTTCCAAAATTATACATAAAAAATATGTACTTTAAATCAATTAAAAAAAACATTACACACACTACCATGTATTTGACACATACACATATAAATATACTGTTTGTTCATTGTCAATTTTCAGACTTTTGTAGTAGTGAAGTATAATTATTGTTTTAAATCTATGAGATAATGAGAATATGCAACAGTTACATACAAATTGAGAATAAATTAATATTGTTTGACTTTAATATTATTTTATCTATAGTGTAGTTTTGGCAAAATCTGTGATTACCTATATTATAGTATTGTAATCGTGTTTGACAATAGAACCTTAAAAATGTTTAACCTTATAATTTCAATTAATTATAGTCGAATTTCGACTACGGCGGGACAACTAGTGCTTATTAATTCCATAAAGAAGTAGTCAGTATAGTATAGTAACCAGAAGACTGGGATTAGTGGTCTGGATTGGGAGGGGCCTATGTCCACCAGTGGACGACTGTAGGCTGATGATTATGATGATGATGATGATGAAGTAGTCACAGGCATTGGATCGAAAGAAACGACTGCCGTCATGTAAATCGATTAAAACATCATTTACATACCTCATAATGCTCCTATAACATAGAATCAGTTGAATGTAAAAACCCATCTGCCTAATTCAGCTTAAAAATTAATATTCCAACTACAAATTACGGTAACATAGCCAAATGCCGGCACCTCATTATGTGGGCTATAAGACCATCTTCCTACGAAGGCAATAAAAAAAACATTTAAGCTTAACATTATAACAACTTTAAATTAGATTTATTGGCTATGGTTTCCTCGTTACAAAATAAACATTTCCAAAAACACACCGCATTCCCTGTAACAATTATAAATAAACGATAAATTTAAAAAACAATACAATCTAAGTTTTATTTGAATGTGACAAAGTTCAAAGGGTTACGTTGCGAAACTGTTCGCTTGTTGAGGATATTTTACACGTATTTCCAACTTCGTATCGAGCGCTATGGCTCCGAAAAATGTGCCATACAAAAATACATAACATACAGTATGATAACATTAAAATGTTTTTGAAGTAAACCGTACCGAATACAAGCTACGATGAAAATGTATTAAGCCCGATGAAGGAACATCAAATTTAAACAATGCGAAAAATATTTTTTTACGTGTGAACGTACATATTTTATTCGCATTATAACTATGATTATATTCGTTAATGTTGATGATTTCCGTCAATTTAAGTTAGCGATTTTTGTAAATGAATTTATTAATTGGTGCCTTGAGAGAGAACAATTAATATTAAAGTTAATTAACCAACACTGTGCCTCATGTTTCTTCTGATTTTCATCTCTAACAATATTTTTTTACTTATTACTGAGTTGGGTGGACGAGCTCACGGCCACTCCTATGCTAAGTGGTTAGCAGAGAGCATGGACATCAACAAAGTAAATGCCGTCACCCACCTTAAGACATGAGTTTTGAGTCTCAGTTTTTACAGTTCCGTCCTTCAAATCTGCCGTGAAACCTTAAATGCGTTTGGCACTACTGTTTTTTGGCAGAAATAGGCAGGGCAGTACCTACCCGTACGGCCTTACAACCACCAATAATACACAAGAAGTCCTACCACCAGTCTTCTTCTTCTTTTTCTCCACCTTATCCCACTAGGCGGGGTCGGCACAGCTAATTTTTCTCTTCCATTCTCTTCTATCTACGCATCACATGTCCATACCACGCTAACCGTCCGCTCCTTAATTTGTTGCTTACCGGGGCCACTTTCACACTTCCTCTGATATACTCATTCTTTATCTTGTCCATTCTTGTCACTCCACACATCCATCTCAACATTCGCATCTCTGCCGCATGCACTCCTCTTTCATACTTTACTCCTACCACCGGTCTATGTTACAAAATTAAAATGGAAACTTATTCCTCAATTAGGTCGACAACGATTAATATCGGCCGCTGTCGCTTCTACTCTGTCAATATTTCGCAATAAAACTTAACATACTGTATATACCATACAAGCGTATTGGCTCGGAACCCGCGCCACGCTTGCTTGCTACACGACAAAACTTTTAAAACTTGACATCTTTATGAATTTCTGTGTGTTCGCGCAAACAACACATTGCATTCTCGAAGCCAGTGCTTCAACACGCTTCGATGAATCCAACAATTGAATCTTAGTTTTGGTACAGTTGTTTTAAAAGTTTACTAAATTTATACGATACGAAATTTTAGGTTATGCGATTTTTTATTTTTTTTATTGCTTAGATGGGTGGACGAGCTCACAGCCCACCTGGTATTAAGTGGTTACTGGAGCCCATAGACATCTTCAATGTAAATGCGCCACCCATCTTGAGATATTAGTTCTAAGGTCTCAGTATAGTTACAACGGCTATCCCGCCCTTCAAACCGAAACGCATTACTGCTTGACGGCAGAAATAGGCAGGGTGGTGGTACCTACCCGTGAGGACTAACAAGAGGTCCTACCACCAGTTAATCCTTATCCTTTTGGTAAAGAAGAGATGACGCCAACTCTGATGCTGGGCAGTTAATATAANCATCTTGAGATATTAGTTCTAAGGTCTCAGTATAGTTACAACGGCTATCCCGCCCTTCAAACCGAAACGCATTACTGCTTGACGGCAGAAATAGGCAGGGTGGTGGTACCTACCCGTGAGGACTAACAAGAGGTCCTACCACCAGTTAATCCTTATCCTTTTGGTAAAGAAGAGATGACGCCAACTCTGATGCTGGGCAGTTAATATAATGATACTAAGGATCTGTGAAGTGTGGTACACGCTTGTTGCAGGCTAGTATTTTCATCGGTTTTGGCGAATCGCAAATATAATTAAAGTTCAAGTTTTTCAACACGCTCTGGGCAGTGTCAACGTGCCAACTATGACAAATAGTGTCAAAACATTTATAAGATTGAACAAAACCCATGAATTCCAAGTAAGGAGTTAAACGCGGGATCATTGAAATAAATAAATCTAACTGCAATAGCGAAGTCAGTTGGCGCTCATCTCACACCTGGGATTTTCTTATCGTGTAGTAGAAAATTCAAGTGGAACAAACCGGTCGACCTCAAAATACCAGTAGCTTGTTCTCTGTAAAATACAACAGAAAGGTCTAGAAATATTTGGCGTAAAAAAATAAGCGGTAGTAAAATAGAAGGCACAATGTTAAACTGTTGACCGCTCAGTCTTCGTGAACAAGTCTTCGTGGCCTAAGGGATAAGACGTCCGGTGCATTCGTGTTGAAGCGATGCACCGGTGTTCGAATCCCGCAGGTGGGTACCAATTTTTGTAATGAAATACGTACTCAACAAATGTTCACAATTGATTTCCACGGTGAAGGAATAACATCGTGTAATAAAAATCAAACCCGCAAAACTATAATTTACTTAATTACTTAGCAGGCAGAAATAGGCAGGGTGGTGGTACCCACCCACGCGGACTCACAAGAGGTCCTACCACCAGTAATTTCTGTTTTAAGCTTGGTTAAAGCTCACGCCTTTGTTCTCGTTAAGGTCTACTACCATAAATAGACTCTTAGCGTTATAAATATAATACACATTGCAAAATTTTATGCAGCTCTCAAGAACAAATATTAGACATTTAAACTTTCATACCCGAGAGATATTATTCGGACAAACCAACAAACGAATCCACCGGGTTCGGCTAGTTTCACTTTCCACAGAGTAAACCAATTACGGCAAAGTTACCGATTCTCAGGGTTGTCCTATTCGAGTTTTTTTTTTATTGCCCTTGTATGCAGACGAGCATNTCTTCGTGAACAAGTCTTCGTGGCCTAAGGGATAAGACGTCCGGTGCATTCGTGTTGAAGCGATGCACCGGTGTTCGAATCCCGCAGGTGGGTACCAATTTTTGTAATGAAATACGTACTCAACAAATGTTCACAATTGATTTCCACGGTGAAGGAATAACATCGTGTAATAAAAATCAAACCCGCAAAACTATAATTTGCTTAATTACTTAGCAGGCAGAAATAGGCAGGGTGGTGGTACCCACCCGCGCGGACTCACAAGAGGTCCTAGCACCAGTGATTTCTGTTTTAAACTTGCTTAAAGCTCACGCCTCTGTTCTCGTTAAGGTCTACTACAATAAATAGACTCTTAGAGTTATAAATTACACATTGCAAAATTATATGCAGCTCTTAAGAACAAATATTAAATATTTAAACTTTCATACCCGAGAGATATTATTCGGACAAACCAACAAACGAATCCACCGGGTTCGGCTAGTTTCACTTTCCACAGAG